TGGTAGGGGCCAACACGTGGCTTACTACCGAAGGAACTCTGAACCCTCGATTGGCCGTGGCCATCTCCTGTCCTGTGCAAATTGACTGACTGACTTCTTGTCGACCGTTTGACCACAGCCGATTTCTTCGTTCGGAACAGCCTCGTTTATGAGGTCCGTATCTGAAAAGGGAGGTTATTCGAGAATAGTCATACGCCTCAAACCCGAGAGTCACTTCAAGAATTCAAGACTTCTGTCGTCTTGAAATTTGAATTTGTTATAAAAACTGTAGTGCTTTATATTTTGGAACACAGTCCGGACTCAGACATGTATAGCAAATTGGGTGCTTCGGCAGTGGTATTGTTGTTTTACAGGTAGCATGGCGGAGCTGCTGCTCAGTAGATAATTTGAGAATCATTAAGATCACACGCCGTCCGAACTATTTCAGCGTCACCGGTTTACTAATTTCAGATCTTTCCGTCATGATGTAAAAGATGCCTTTCAGTCATCCAGTTTGCACGGGACGGGAGATGGCCTCGGCCAATCGAGGGTCCAGAGTTCCTTCGGTAGTAAGCCACGTGTTGGCCCCTACCACTCCGAGTGTTTTATATTGTAGTTCTTCATGTTTTCTCGTACCAGTCGTCTCCGCCTCTGCAGGGGAAGAGGAAGAAAAGAAAAAAATTCTCCCGTTGTTCAGGCGAGAGACCTTACATTTGGAAGTGTTCCCCTGCTGGGGTGTTAAGTGAACGAAATAACTTAACATTGATCCCGGACCTACTCCTGCTCGTCTAGTTCGGGAAATAAGTTTAAAAGCGCTTATCGAGCTCCTTGAAAGCGTGTACGCTCCGTAGCTCCACTAGCTCATTTGGTATTCTATTCCATGAATCGAATACCCTATTGCTGAAGAAGTTTGAACGCACCGCTAGTCTCGTACGCAATTTTCTCAGATTTTACATGTTTCCTCTAGTGTTTTGCTTTGCATCGTTTCGAAGAACTGTTTCATCCGTCCGAATTGTCAATTTCTTTCTATCTTCCAACACAGACAATAATGGCGGCAGATTCTGAAAGCCAAATTACCTTTGTATGAGATTTCAATGTTCATAACAAAGAGTGGCTGAAGCACTCAGACACTACGTTCATGAGGCGCGAAGCCGAGGCCTTTGCTGTGGTCAACAACCTAAGTGAACCTCCCTACTCGCATTTCTGATAGTATTGGTGACCGCGCTCACACCCTTGCCCTCATTCTCACATCAATTCCCTCTTCTTTCTCCAACACTACTTCAATTCCCCCTTTAGGCTCATCGGACCATTGCCTCGATTCCTTTCTCACTCATTTCTCTTACCCTGTTTCACCAATTTTCAGTCTGAACAACCATTAAGCATGCACTTCCGTGGGTCGCTTTTGGTTGCTGTCTTTTGGATGCCAATTTGGATGAACAGTAGGAGGAAAACAGGACGGTTGAAAGTAGGAACAAAGAAAAGAAAATTGATAAACAGTGAAGTTGAAAGTGGAGTGAAATATAAAATGGACAGTTTCAGTGTACTAATGATGAAAAGAAATTGAGATGCACGAACACCACTGTTTATGACACAGCTATGTCAGTCAATCTCTCTAACTATCGGTTACGATCATCCGGAGGTCTCCAGTCAGGGAATCTGACGGAACCTGTGTGACCCAGAATCCTGGTTAGGGTTTTCATGCCGGGTCTTGGCTTGACCACCCTTGTCTTCCGTCCAGCCACTACCTGTCTCGGCGAAAATCGCTTACCGTGGCAACCTATCCGGTGACATGCGTAACACATGTCCCCACCAAGGTAACCTATGGAAGTCGACCACTTGCTCCAGTGGGCGACCGCAGTTGTCTAAAACTCTGTGCCTAACCACAGCATTGCTCGTCTGGCTGCCCCACCAGATTCGTGCAATGCTGCGTAGACAGCGGCGTTCAAACACCGACAGTTTATCCTTATCCTGTTTTCTTAATGGCCAAGTTTCTGCTCCATTTAGCAGAACTGGCCGAACTGCCGTGGCATACATTCGACCCTTCACAAACAGCCGGATGTCGTGACGGCGCCACAGATGTCTCAAGTTGGCAAATATCAACCCAGATTTCTGTGTGCAAGCTGACACTTCATCCGTGACGCGTCCACTGGGTGAGATATAGCTGCTCAAGTAACAAAACTATTCCACTTGCTCTATTACTTCTCCAATTAGTGAGCCTGGGTGCTGGACCAACCCAGTCTTGTAGTGCCATTTTACATTTTGAAGGTGCAAAACGTATACCGAACATTGGCTAGGCTAGCATTCAAGCTATCCAGAAAGACTGGCAACTTGCCTGGATCGTCACTTAGTACCACAATGTCATCTGCATCCTCTAGATCAATCTGCCACCTGGGAGTAAATCGATGCCACCATCCCCGCACGAAGATAGGGCTGTTTCCAGAATCAAATGTATAACAAAGTTAAATATAAAAGGAGAGAGAGGGCAACCCTGACAAACACCACTTTCAGTGGTGGAGTCGGGCGAAAACGTGTCGTAAGCGGGCTCGACTCGAGGGGGGGGGGGGGGGGNNGTGTTATTGAAATCAACTTCTCGGGCACACTTTTCAGGGAACAGCAGCACCGATCGGTCGACTGAGTCGAAAGCCGCTTTCACCACCCAACCCCATACGCACCTTTTGACGTTACGATTCAATCAACTGGGACAGTTTTCGTGACCTTCTGGCTTGTGATCCATGGAAGGATCGTTGTTTTAAACCTGGTGTTTCCATGTCTGTTTCACCCTCCATAGAGATTGTTCTTTGAGGCATGTTTCTCCATATTCCACATTTTTCTAAACCCAGCAAACCACGAACCCCTGAGTGGTTTAATCGTGCTTTCAGCCGTGCTGTACGTTTTAAAAGCTCCACATTCCGTCACTAGCGCCATTCACCCAATCCAACATCCATAAATCGCTTTGTGCAAGCCACAAACAAATTCTCGCTCACCATACGGAGAGCTAAAGAATGCTTCATTTGTCACGAAGCTGCGCGCTTGGCTTCTTCTGCCACCAGCAAACGAACATTGGGGTCTCTCGTAAAGTAATTCGACTTCATCTCTGTCTCCCAGCTTTCTTTCTATTTTCGGTTCATCTGATACTTTTGTTTTGTACCCCGCAAAATGGTTGAGGTCGTAAATTCCCGGTCTGCCTCCAACCACTTAATGTATCGACCCTTATTCAGTTATCCTTCCATGCACCCGGCCATACCTTGCTACCTATCATAACACCGAAGAATGTTGTCGCGGTTTGAAGGTTTTAAACCACTGACCCGGACAGAATTCCAACGTTTCTCATCACCATTACAATTTTGGTTTCGGCTTTTCTGATCTCGCTTCCCGTCCATTTTGTTCTCAGGCAAGTAGTCAGGTTTCATTCTCCTGATGTCTATCTATCTTCTATCTTCCAGTTTTCTTTTTTATCCAGGACTGCAAAATTGTGGATCACTGTACCCATCTCCATATTTTAAAACGCCCATAATGTTGCTCTTCAAAAACTAGGTTGACAAATTGGTTCCCACCTAAAATCTTGACCATATATATTCCCTCTGACAATTTGTCATTAGCTAAGAGGGTTTACACTTGCTGTAAATCACTTTGTGTGATGATGAAAACTAGACAGGGTCTGTAAGTTTCAATGTAGAAGTACATTTGGGGTGAGCGGACACCGCACCAGACAAGGTTACAATATTATAGAGCGGAACGTATTGGGGTGCTGTAAAAAAGGCGAAGTTTGAAATGGGTGAATAACCGTGGGTTCTCTTAACTATGGGTGGAATCTTTCTAGAGGTTATCACATAAGTGTCTATAAAAGGGATATGAACAAGGTGAGCGAGGGTCGAAATGCAAATTGGAAACACGAAGGTCATGGCTACGGAGAAGAGAAACAAACAAGATTTTGCGGTATTGCAAACGTCTCGATCTTTTTTAAATTAATCAATGCAACCGCAGGTAATTGGTCTTGAATGGAGATATTTGAGAATCCACACGAGCTAGGGGACAATGTAGAGTGATACCAACAATAAATATAAATTTAAAAAAACTAAACCTGCAGGCTGTCTTCGGAGTATGAGATAAACGTCTGAAGAGGACTCGGACAACCGCAAGTCGCTGCATTTCACTGCGGTAATCCTCAAAAGGATCCAATCAACATAAGCTGATGTCAAATATTCACCGCGGAAGTTTCTTACCTGAGGGGCGAAACACAGTGGAACGTTTCGCTAGGAACCCAGTCGAACGCCTTGGAGATAATGAGAGACAACCTTGAGGTTTAGCGATAGGTTAACTGTGTAACACTAATGCCAAGTCTACAGTGGATTTGTGGCAGTTCTTTCAAAAAATATACGCTATTGTATGATAAACAACAAAAAATAAACCTACAGTCACGAGGACTTAATGTTCACTTACGGTAACCGGCAACCTATGCCCCCGGTCTTAGTGCCGAAATGAACGTTCCGTTTAACGCCACGTTCGTTGGAAGCAATCTAAGAGTACATGCTAGTCTGAGCATGTACACAGGTTATTTCAAGCACAAACTAGATGAAGCTTTAACAAATCTTAAATTTCGACTTCCGTTGCAAGGCACGAAACAAAGATAATTTGCGACATTCCTCATCTTTCTATGAACCGAAAATCTATCCATTTGTGCTAAACCGTATGGAAGAAGAAAAGCAACCGCTTGTAAGTATTTCCCATAAAGCTTTGACTTTAACCTTGGTGTATTCCTTAGAGTGTATTTCGAATTACGATGAGTTGATAGAAACCGGTAACTTGAAATCTAGTGCTTAGAGAGTAGTGAATCATATAGAGTCTCCATATGAAAGTTGGGATAGCCACACACTCGTTCCTATGTTTTCAAAGCATGTTGCTCAAATACGGTTGCTCTGTCATTGATAATAATTGCTTGAGTGCTTTATTCGTTTAAAAGTGTGTGGCTGTAGTTAGCTTCGTATTTCTCTCATTGTCCTTCAATTCCTCCCCCCAGAAATATGTTGATCAAAGTGAAAACACTTACTGGAAAGGAGATCGAGATCGATATTGAACCGTCGGACAAAGTGGAACGCATAAAAGAAAGGATTGAAGAAAAGGAAGGTATTCCACCACAGCAGCAACGACTTATTTTTTCCGGAAAGCAAATGAATGATGAAAAAGTGGTTCTGGACTACAAGATTCAAGGCGGTTCAGTGATTCATCTTGTTCTATCGCTTCGTGGTGGTCTTATTTGAAGTCTCCTTATATGCTCCGGTTGATTTTGTTTTTGGCTCCAGTCTGTTGATATGGTGGAGATATGTGTTACAGAAACGTCATACTGTTATTGTTTTTCTCCGAGTATCTAACCGGTGCAGTCGTCCTCTGATATCTGCTTTCGTTACTGACGAAGCTTTTCTCTCACTTGTCAGTCAACAGACGGAGAGATGTGATTCGAATTTGAACAACGTACT